GTCTTAAACCTTAAGGCCTCTTATAAAAAACCGATAAGTCAAACAAGGAGCTTCCAAGCCTGAACTTACCCCCAAACCTTGAACCCTAGAAAAAAGTAAATACACCCGGATAGAAGCCCTATAGAACGCTTGTAGGGTCCCTAACCAGCGATAGGCCTCTATAGAACCATTATATCAACACCCTTACAGATCCCCTATTGGGACCCCTATGCTGTAAACCCCTACTTGCTAGAACCCCTTACAAAGCTGGAACAGAACCCCGCCTAATTTATTCTAGAGCCCTTCTAGCACACCTAGCGAGATCTTAAGTATTGACTGCAGAACTAACCTTCAAGCCCCAAAGACCAAACAGCTCTTATAGAACCACAATCAGCCAAGAAACGAAGCCATCTATGAATAAAACCCTTATTCTCCGCCCTCGTGCCGCCAAAAATCGGTGCAATGAGCTCTTGTTGGAAGAGTTTGTAACCTGGAAAAATGCGGAGCCAGGGGTCTAGCTTTAGAGTTTATATTGGGACACCTCCCTCTAATGGTGTTCGATAACGGAATACTGTATTTTCAACGGCTTGTAAGAGATGTTAGAAGGCTTTGCGAGCGTCTAAAAGGGTTTATGTGGCAGTTTATGAAAATGTAGGGATTCTCAAGCCAGGGATACTCTTCCCGGGGATCCTTAGTACGAGGATTGTCTTGTTCAGGGTCTTTGTTAAGGCCCCTTATTTTCTGGCACTCCCACTCCGGAAGTTGTCGCACGGCATGCAGTGTCGCATTGTGGTGTTGGTGCCTAAGACTTATACGGGGGGCTTAGGAAGTTTCGGGTCTATAGGTTTGGAGCTTAAGTTTTGGGGCTGTTGGGCTCCAGGATGCATTAGGTTTCAGTTTCGGATGAGCCATTCCCACGTCTTTGTGCTTCCTCATGTTGCTGCAGCTTCTGCTGTGGTTAGTAGCATGAACCACTCTCCTCGTTGCCGTCATCATTGTCTCGTGCAGCTGGCAACAGTCGGGCAATTTTGTTGTTTTTGCAAGTCTTCTGTCATAGGAACCCTAAACCCCCAACCCTAAACCCTAAACCCCTAAACCCTATCGCCCAGCCAAGGCTGGCCCTTGGAAGCCTCGGAGAGCAGCTCGTGAGCAAGAGCCTCCTAACCCTAAACCCTTTTTGTTGCTGGACTCAAGTCTAGCCAAACTAGGACGCCCCTAAACCCTAAGCCCCTTTAAGCAGAATGAAGGAAGATATCCACCCAAACCCCCGGAAGAAGCACCCGACTCCGAAGCGCGATAAGGAGCCGGCACTAAATCCTATGATACGCCATAAACCCTAAGCTGAATCTCCAAGCCCATAAACCTTGAAGCCTCAAGCACAAAAAAACTCAAAGCCTACGCCCGAAGCCGATAGGGTTGAGCTATGGCATTCACGCAGTGCACTAGGGAATCAGCTTTCGGGCGTGGGGAGTGTTCTTAAGTTAGGGGTACCTCATTGCACAAAGTTTTCTGCAGCTTTCTACAAGGTTTGTAAAGCAGAATGGATCCCAGCTTTTAGAGTTCCGTATGTTGCTTGCATCTCAGACCATTCGCTGCTTTCCAACCGTCTCTTTGATATATGGAGCGCAACCTGCCTCTATCTCCAAATAAAATGTCATTACGCTCCTCCTGCAACTCGGACCTGAAATAAAATGTCATGAGGGTTTAGAGTTCTAGATCATTTTAGGGATTAGGCTTTGCGTAAGTTGCGTCCAACTTGTAACTACCCTTTTTTGAAGCCAGACTCTGCTGATCAGCTGGGAAATCACCCTAAACCCCAAACCCTAAATCCTAATCCACACCTGATTTTGAGAACCCCCCGGACTCTTCGAGAGAGGAGCTTTGCCATGCGACCATAATCCTTCGCTGCGGTGGGCTTGGTTGGGTTTACGATTTAGGGCTTGCAAACAAAACTCTAAGAGCTTATGCGGGCAGAAAATGCGGGGGTAAAGGTCAGGGCGAACTGCAGGCATCGACCTATCGTTTGTCCGGTTTAATATAGTTCCTCATCCTGCGATTGATTACTGGTGTGAACTGTGACAGCCGAGCGGCCCTAGCAACACGGCCTGGACACATACTCCAGTCCGCTTACGCAGCGCCATGGCTCCAGGACCAATGCTGTGAGACTTCAGCAGGAATGCCCCAATCCTGACTCCTGAAGGCCTAAAGACCTACTTACTGAATTCCCTGCTTATCTGGTGACTCTATGAGCCCCAGTACGCCCTCTTTTGGAAAGCTGGTGACGGGACTGTCTTTCCGTGCACGAAGGGACAGGCCAGTCGCTCTGCGACCCGCGCGACTGAAAGTCGCAGACCCTCCGCTAAGCAAACATCTGCGAGGTGCACAGCAGCACCGGAGCACATTTCTGACTGACACCAGGTGTATACACACATCTACAAGCGATTATGATGATGCAACAATATCAATATATATATATACATGCAGAGTCATGAGGGGGTTCGGGCCGCTCGGGGGTGTTGGGGAGCAACAATCTGCCGAGCTTATCCATCTTAGGCAAGACTGGCATCAATCGTATAGCATATTATTATGATAGCATACCACAATATATTATACTTGTAAATGTGGGTCCCAAGCTTCTGCAATGCAAAGGTCGAGGTTCAGAAAGAAGGCTTCCAAACATTCGGAAACCGTTTTCGGTGGTTCCTCTGCTAAGAGCCCCAGTCTACACAAGCTGCTCCCAGACGAAGCCAGAAGAACCCTGCCGCCTTCAGACGAACTCCTGAAGTGTATAACTCCAAGCTCGCAGTTCCAAACGTTAGCCGTTAGCCCCGACATCCACCACAACCGGTAAGCGTACAGACTATAGCCCCAAGCCCAAAGCCCTAGCCCAGAGAATCCCAAACCTTAGACTAAAGGCCCGAAAGGCACACAGCTCCCGTAACTCTAAGTGCCAACACAAGGGCCGGAACAACTAGAACAGGGCTTCAGGGGAAAAGCTAGTATAGCTCTACATATATACATACATATATATATATATGGCTGCCTTTGCGCAAAGGGTCATAGGCGCAATATTCAAACGTCGCGTTTGTTCTTGTAATATGACTTCAGGGGATTAATACGAATCTTGATTGCTATTCTGATTCTAAGGGTGGCTAAGTAGAAGGAAACATACATACATCCATACATACATACATACATACATCCATGTATATATTATGTGTATGTATGTATGTGTGTATATATATATGTATGTAAATAAACACGTAGAGACATAGAGATTACAAGCGGCTGTTATACGAACCCTCAGCCCTAAACACAAAGCGCGAGACCCAACGCCAAAAGAGTGCCTGGATTTGCCTCATCTCGTCGCCTAAGCGACGGCTACGCTCAAGCTGCTGGAGCGCCTGGCAGGAAAGCCTTTATGCCTTACGGTTAGGGGTTTAGGGTTTCGAGCTTCAGGGTTTTACTCAGTGACGCACGCGGGCGAGCGCACGCGTCTGGCTGCAATCCGTTGCAGTTGGCGTCAATTAGGGTCTGCCTTGAACTACGGAAACATACTCTTTTATCTTTTTTGTACGAGTGGGGCCCTTATCAATTTGTAGGTTCTGGTAGTTTAACGCAGGGCTTTAGGGCTTTGGGGGTTACAGGGTGGGTTTTGTTTCGGGAAGTCTTGGTGTACTACGGCAGAGGCCTCAAAAGTCCAGGTCCTCTTCTTTCCCTCAATAAACCTACCTTCCTGGGATAACTTCCTGGTCTCTTCTTCCCTTCAAAAAACAAGAAGGGTAAAGGCAGGGTTTTTCGGGCTACGTGCGCTCGAAGCTCTTTATAAACCCTTATCGTCCTGATATGAGTACACTGTCAAGTACCCTCCAGTGTATACTACCCTCAAAGCCCAAAACAATCTAGCCCGGGGAACATGGCATTCTTTTCAATAGGTGTTTATCTAACCTGCTCAGGGTTCATGGGCGAGCTCATTCTGAAAGTCGCGCAGTCTTTGGGGAAGAAAGCAATCCTGGCTATCAGAGCTATATCCCAGTGTCAGGATCATGTACTCATATAGCAGACATGCTTTCGTACCTAAAGTACCATTATACCGAAACCTATCTAACGCCCACGTATCTACATCGGGTATTTTGGTGCATGGACCCCGGGCATCCGGGAACTCCCAACATGGAAGCCTGTAAGCTCTGCGCAACAGCAGCACACACCCGATAAGCCGTAGGGAGCCATAAACCCTAACCCCCCCCCTCCCCACAAAACAAAAAAAAACAAGATTCTGAAGGAGCTATATAAGGAAATCATAAAAAGGCTCCATGAAAGGTAGGCTCTTTTGAGTTAAGGTAAATAAGCCCTTAAGACCAAAAAAATGCCAGGAGCTTCGAAGAAGGCCTCTTCCCGACGGGCTTTCAGGGCCTGCCAGAAGCTGAGAAGGGACGAGCAAGAGGTGGAGGTGGAGTTTCCTTTGGCTTGGTGGGGCCGTGCAGGAGTGTAGGGTTTGGGGGTTTCGGGTTTGTGACCTACAAGTGCTTCGGGGTTTGGCTTTTTTTTGGCGAATGGGGGGATCTTGATGACTTTAGGCAGCGCTTCGGGACCTGTTTGTTGAGCCAATTCCCTACCGGCACATCGTGCGGCCGCTGTTGGCACAGGAATAAATCCCGTAAACCCTTGGCCATGGCCTAAATACCAAGGAACCCTGAGCCAGAGCCCTCTACGAACGAAGGGAGAGTTTCTTGACTTTCGGGGCACCTCATTCAAACGTCTTTATAAGGGTTCCAAGAAACCTTAAAAAGCGATAATGACTTGGGCTTCGGGGTGCATCTTCTATATAGATCCTATATATTGCAGAGCTTACCTGCAAATTTAGGCTGCCTGTGTTGGCATCCCTCGTTCTCCGATACTCCCATAAAACCCTAAATCCCAAAAACCACAGAGAGAGAGACAGAGAGAGAGCGAGAGCGAGAGAGAGAGAGAGAGAGAGAGAGAGAGAGAGCTAGCTCGGCGCGAGCTGCGGGCTTGCGCGCTTGTTTGTCCTCACCCCGGCGCAGGAATTCGCCCACCGCGCTGCACCAAGCATCGCCGCCCGTCGCGGCTGCCCACCTGATCTCCCCTCTAGGATCCTACAGAATCCTTTAGGGGAGCCCTTAAAGAGACCCATAGAGTTGCATGTAAGCCAATCCTAGGACCTCGGATCCGACAAGATTCCGAATGGTTGTCGGCACACTCACAAGCAATTATTCAGGGTATTTCAGGGTACTTGGAGCCTTGCTTCAGGCTTGCATGCTCAGGCTTGCTGGGCCCCAAACCCTAAGCGCTGCGGTCTGAAGGTTGGAAGGATGCATGCTACCTGAGCAAGTGTTCCTGCTGCGACAGTGCTCTGAACTCCGTCCACCTTCAGAAAACCGATCCTGGCATGACTAGTCTGGCTTGACCGACGGCTGCGACCTTGTGTTAAAACGTGCAGTCGCCGAAACTTTCCCTATGCACAATCGAGACGCTCGCGCTGGAAAAGCTCGAAACAAGCTTGCAGCGAATAGCTGTGCATCCATTTCAGTGATTGAAGCACGGTTTTGGTACTTTTGAGATTAAAAAAATAAGGAACCCAGGGAATATAGTATTGCTATAACTATTCAGGCTTCTGTATAAAACCCAAAGCGTAAAACCCTCAGAGCCTAAACCGACAAGAGTCTGAATCGACACCCGCTGCCCTCGATTTGTGAAGCCTTTCGTAGTCAGCGACGGGAAGCACCATCTGCTTGGGGAAGTTGGTTACCTGCTAGCGGATGCTTGGGGGTTGCGGCGCTGCGGGCTTTAGGCGCTCTGGTGCTGTACCTTTCGAGCTTTGTGTTAACAACTCTCGCACGATCGGACGATGGACATCACATGATATTATGAAAACCCAGGGGGCTCTTTTGGCCTGAGACCAGGAAGCTTCAACAAGACTTGGCGACTCGTGCGGCTGATCAGTTTCCCCACCGTGGCCCTCATCATCCCCGGCACTCAGAGGCTTTTTTAGAGCGTGTAACCCTCAAGCGCACCTTAATCGGTATCCTCATCAGCATGGAGGGGCTCTTCTGCGGCCGCAACATGAAGGATGTCAGTCTTAGTTTCCGTTATCTACAGCAAGCTGCCGCCACTACTGATCATCCTCATGACCATCCTCATTATCAGCCCAACCGAGCCATGAGGGCTTCGGGTTCAGAATCCTTAGCCTCTAGTGTCGCATGTGGTCATATTCAGAGCTGATCATGATGGTCAAAGCTTGCTCTAGGTCAGTATAGCCCTATGCACAAGCTGAGGACTCGTGCCATCGCCTCGGGGTGCACGAAATCTGATATGGGTTCATGCTTATGTGCTTCTGTAAGGTGTTTAACTTATACTGTTGCAGAGTGTTTCTCGTGGCATCTAGCGGGCCAGCACACATGCTCTCTGACATGCCTCAGCCAGAAGAGGCCCTGCAACTCTCGGAGCGCTAGGGCCCGAGAGGTTGGAATGAGCTCTGGGGGCATCTCGTGGCATCTGTATATCAACAGACATTACATCATGATATTCCTACTAATTAATAAGTCGAGCAAATCTATATCAAGAGATACTACATATGATATTCCTACTCAGTAGTCGAGCTTAAACACTAGGCCCGGCCCGGCCTTTCGCACCGTGCTGGCGAACTTCAGCGTGCGAGCTGTCTCCTCCTGGCTCACCAAAGGCGGCTTCGGGCAACGACGCTTTCGGGGTGGCAATCTTGGAGTTTCGGATGTCGGCGGGATTTAGGCGATGGACTGTTGAGAATGGATGCAATTTTGGGGAGTTCTAGGGTGAGGTTTCGGGTTCAGAAGTTTGGGAATAAAATGGAGCAAGGGTGTTCTATCAGGGAGCATGCCCTTGCCGTAAATTGCTCGGGGAAAAACCGACGGTGCGGAAAGGAGATGACCTCTGATGGACAACCAGGCAGGTGGTCTTCTTCCCGGACAGCAGCTGTCAAATCCCCGTGCTCAACCCTGAACACACCAGCTCACATTCCACAGAACCCTCAACCCTAAATTGCCAACATACAGGCGCTTAGCAAACACATCATTTCCAAATGCATGCGAATGTCAATGTATTTTTAAAAATGCATGCAGAGGTGAATACCTCCATCCATCAATCCATCCACCCATCCATCCGTACATACATACATGTACATAATTACATAGCAGCTACCTAGCTACGTACATAGATACATATAAACAGCAAAGGAACAAAGGAATGAATAAACAAGTAAAAAAGAGTAAACCAAAAAATATTCAAATAAATTTAAACACATACAAACACGAATATATATATATA